AGGAAATCTCTTTGGTAAATGAAAACTGTCACGTGATTAGTGTTGGATGGCCTTGGTTGATTACTTGCTACTGAAGAAGGACAAGTTCATGATGATTTTAGCTATATGAAATTCATATATTTGCACTGCGGTGAAGAGATGAAATTAAGAGATCCTCGCAGCTAAGAACACTACTGAAACGAGTGGTTGAAAATAGGACCTGAAAAAAATTCAGGCGGGATTTGAACCTCTGACCTCTGCGATACCGGTGCAACGCTCTACCAACTGAGCTAACAAGCCAACTGGGAGCTGGTCAATGTGTTAGGTCCAAATAAACCATCCAAGCAATAAATGATGATTTTAGATATATTTCTATATTTTAGATATATTATGATTTTAGATATGTTTCTTAGCTGCGAGGATCTCCTAATTTCAAGGACAAGTTCCTTACTCACATTCACACTTTATTAATGTCAGCACAAAATGTAAGGGTAAGTTGATGATGATTTTGCAAATTTCTTAGTCGAGGCGGACCAATCAGCTGCCATGCAAAGATCCACTTAATCGTTACATAGATGAATAAGCTAAAAAAGGAAACTAAATACTAGATATTAAGGGAATTAAAGAACAACTGATCAATAAGTTCTTACCAGCTGTAGCGTTAAATGGTTGGCAACCTTCAAGATCCAGCTTTTTATTCTTTTTCAATTTCTCCCACGTGAATTCCAGCCCGTATACTTTGATATACTGAAGAGAAAGATGAAACGGACGTTTGGTTCTTATTGTTATTGCATGGTGTTCTATCATTGATGCTGGAACCTAATGCACTACATAGTGATTCAAGTAAGTAGCCAAACAGTGGTTGATTTTAAAGAAAAAAATTAAATAACGAGCCAGATTGTTGTCAAGTTTTTAACAACGAGTGGATGTAGAGGAAAACGATCAGCTTTTACCTGTGATCGATTTCTAAGCTTGATAGTTGATGTAAGCGTCACCCGCATCAAGTATCACGCGATAAAATCTCTCAAGCTCGTAATCTTATTGTTGATTTGTTTTGGTGAAATATTCCAAGCTTTGATACTCCTCTTTGTCCCTTCACTTTCTTATGGAGAACCAAAATCATCTGAGACAGCGAAATAACCAAATTGAGAAGACTTTTAAGCATGTTATGCAGTCGCACCTGTACTAAGCGGTTACCGAAGGGGAATGACGTGGTGGCCGCTCAATACAGATTGACCGCCTAATACAGGTTCTTGCAATGAAAGGGTATTACAAAACATGATAAAAACGCCGTTTTTATCATTATTTATCACCAAAAGTACAAAGACTCGCCCAAAAATACTACTCGCACTGATTTCAAAATAAAAACATGGATTAATCATACTTGATAGCTTTTCTTAGTTTAATTTCAGTGGTTTCACCGTCCAATACAGGTGGAAGTCAATACGAACAGGCCGTTGAAACCCAGAAAAGGGTGACCGCTTATAGAGGTGAAAATTGGAGCGTTTATGGAGAAAGAATTTTGGGACTTTGACAACTAATCACTTAATACGATGCTTCAGGTTCGACTGTACGTGACTTAGGATTCGAGGGATATAATTCCTGGCTGTGTGATACTTACTTGTATATCATGTGTTGTGAATTTAAAGGTAGCCGAATGACCCTTGATGCACCCTCGTTTACACAACTGATACTGGAACCAAGTTCCTGGGGCAAGAAACTCGTACAACAAGCCAGAAAGCAGTCCGACAACGACAAGGAAAATGAAAATCTTCCATTTCAGACCTAAATACGAAAAAGAAATGGTAATTTGCCCGCTCAGAAACACAAAATAAATAGATAATAATTAATAACTTAGCTAGGCTATCTTAATCATTCTGTCCTCATCTTTGCAATTTTTGGCCTCATTTACTCGAAGCTCAGGTGTTTTGTGAGATCACTCTGACATTTCTTACGATACTGTGTATGAAAGAAACGTCTCATCCGGTCCTTTAACTGCTACTGTTACAAGCGTCCTCGCCGTCTCGATTCTCAGTCTGTAACAGACTAAGATGACGTCAACGATGTAGGTTAGAACCTTCAGTCCTCATTTCGTAGTTCAGATGGTTACGTTACTGTGAACAAAGTATCTCCAAAAATTATTAGTGAGCAGGATGCCTCTACCCGGCAGGCGTCAATTTCAAACTTAAAGTTAGAAGGGGGCAGCTCCAGAATCCTTAGCTTCCCATAAATCCACCATTTGACGCAAATGAAACTGTGCACCTTCTTCAGTGCCCCAGATATACTCAGTAACAGACGATACGTCACCTCTGATCCACTTTGATCTGTCTTTTACCACAACATCCTCAAACTTGCGCTGCATCTTCTCCTGAAGGTCCTCTATGGCGTTATTAATCTGACCCGACTGAATACCGAGCACTATGGACACAAAGCACTGCACCAGCTGAACTTTGTCTTGAGAGTAACTCGATTTGCTCTCAAGCGCCTGACCCAGCAATACTGGACGGCGGTCGGCCATGGGTCGTAACGGAATCTGCGTTTCTGGAATGGCAACACCCGGATGATGCAGTGCGACATATATACGCTCTCCATTCTGAACGGTGCCAACGACTTTAACTTTTACCACGCCGATAACGCAAACCGTCTCAGTACTGCCTGAAAGGAGGAATAATCCAGAGTAATCTTACCATCTCAAATTCTCGAGACGTCTATAACTCTCCGTGAACTGGAAAATTATAAGTGTCCTAACTGGTGTTTCATAATTTTTTAATACCGAATACTGGCTTTAAACCTCCTGTACGTTAAACTATGATTTAGTGGGCTGTAAGAAATTACAAGAACCGGGGCTTCACTTGCTCCATTAGGCCTTAAAGCTGAAGGTAGACGAGTCTACAATTGATGTAGTGTTTCCTTCTTTTCAGTCCCAAGCTCAATCAAGAAAAAAAAATCATGTTCTTTACGCCACCCTATAATAGATGAGACGAGTTTGACCGAATAAGATGTCTCAGTTTGATAAATCTTAAGTTTCTTCCATCGGTTGAGGCCACAGAGTCACTACTTCGAGATCAAAAGGCCAAATAACAATCATAAGGTATAGCTGGTGATTTAGAAAAGTGAGTAGGTTACGCGAAAGCCTCAAATTCGTTTTCTGACCAATACGCTGAACATGCTCGGTAATTTTGCAGTTATGTTGAAATATTCCATGAACTCGAGTTGTTTCATTACCCTTCTCACTGCTGTGGCGTGGTGCGTGCGCGTATATGTAAGCGGATCGACTGATGACACCTGCCAAGACTGCTCGTGCTGAATTCTCATGTGTCAGTTTTTCTATTTCTGTTTGTCCAGTGTTACGATTCGTCAAAAAGGCAATCACATCTCCTTCCTCCAGATCAGGCCGTCTTTTTGAAGATTCTGTAAGATTCAGATGATAGGCGACGTCTGCGCCTTCTGTTGTCCACTTTGCGACCCTTAAATCGTTGATGCGAGCCCTCTGTGCTTCCAGATAATCGGTCAAAACTATACAAAATAGAATACAAGAATTTGATCACGAACTGATCTCTACACTTTTCATTTCTTTAAGGCTGAAAGTATTTAGTGTGTCGAGCTGTGCACAATACTGTGCTCTGCAGTTACAGTGCTTAGATGGCACTTTAGTTTGGTACGATATTGAAACGAAATATTGCGCCAGTACAGTCGACTCTCGCCCTGCGAACATCCTGCCATTGCGGACAGGAGCCAGTCCTCGGCGAAACGCATAAAGGAATGAATGAAGAGAACTCCCGTATTTATGGATTCACGCTATTGCGGAAATGACGACGCTTTCATGCCCCCCAGTGCGACATTCCACTAGTTTTCTCTCTCGTTATAGCAGACACTCGAGTACTTCGTCCAAAATCCTGACTCACATGATATAAAACGACACTACGATAAAGGAAATAAAGAGACCATTCTTCAGTTAGTTGCAAACGTGAGAATTTCCCGCCACGTTAGAAAGTTTATGTTTTCTTAGTTACATATTATTTCTTATGTTTAGATACATAGCAATCTTTTTTCTCTCGTACCCCAGTATTACGAACTCCCGCCATTACGGACACCAGATCCCCCTCCAAGGCTATCCACATTAACGGGAGTCGACTGTCTACTGATCTATAAGTGTTAACATTTCTTTTGACCCGGTCAATTATGTCCATTATGATTTTATCGTCTGTGATTGATACTTGCGATACAATCACCGGCGCCAAAAGCGCGGGAACATTGGACAACCCCTGTCGCAGCTTGACACGGCTGCCATTTATCACACTGTGCGCCGCTCGTCACAACAGGACGTGTAAGGAAGTGTGAAGTACACGTTTTCGATGAGTAGAGCCACAAATATCACCTCTTTTCCATTATTCTTTCTTTTAAACGTGAAAACAAAGTTAATTGGTGTGGAGATGATATCTCTGGGATGACCGTCGATAAAGACAGTCCTAAAGATATTCAAAACATGACCCCGGCCTAGCTAGGTATGACCTCAATAGTCGAACCGCACAAGGTTGAGTTCACGTCGCAAAGAGAAACAAAGGAGTGACTATTTGGCTGCAAAGGTAGGTTATCTTGGCGAAGTATGAACGGAAACGTTTCCCCGGCTCGCCAATACAAGCTCACTTTCCTGTTATTTCAGAAGGGGGAAGATTTCCTCATAAAATATAACTCATATATACTATACTAAAACTCTAGTCTCAAAGACAATCTACCTATTGTTTTTGCCATTCTTTCTTTATATTATCCAAGAACTGCATGCATAATGAAATACGAAAAATTGCGAATGGTTCAACACAGAGTTGAAAAACATTTGATACAAGTACGAAATTTCTTAGTCTGGCCGTAATTGTCTTCGTAGTTGAGGGCGAATTGAGAAGCGTGAAGCTGGACAAACCAATATGTGAAACGCCAGTCTACCATGTCATCCTAATTATTAAATGTATCTTTCTAAATTTTGACATGACTTTGAATTAAACCAGTAAAATTCACGAGATTCATTGGTTTCACAAATAGCACAGAGTTCACAATATTTGTTCCTCTTAAGACAACTGAGGGATAATTAAATCAAATGTTTTAGTCCTTCAACCCAAGAGAGAATAATTATTGAAATGAGAAAGAATATTTTGAATGATCATGCAATTGTTTTGAATGATTATCATAAAATTCTTTTTGACTAGGTTTCGCTGTAAGCTTAACATTAGTTAAAAACTTATGTTGGAAAGAGGACTTAAAGATTTATAGGGGCTGGGTTAGAAACTCGAGGTAATGCATACAGAATACACACATTGTATAGGATATTGTAGAGATGTTCTTGAATGGCTGAGGATTGAGTCACAATTCTTGCTGTGTTAACCCTGTAATTGCCCTATTCTGGTGTAGGTGATTGAAATACCAAGAAGTGACTTTGAAAAAAGGGTGACAAATTTTTCTTGAATTTTTTTAAACTTATCACAATTTGGAAACAAAACACATCTGGTGTAACAACTACCAGTGAAATTGCACTAAATTGGTAACTATATTATTCTATTCAAGCTCAGTGAGTATTGTCAAATAATGTTATATGATGAGCTGAGTAACACACACATATTTTGATTGGATAATTCTTACTTTATAAAATCCAGCAGAGGATGGAAACATAGATAACATCACCACTTAAAACACTTTGCTTTTTTATTAATAAAAATTCTAAAAGATTCTATCTTGCTTTGGTTCTGTGCAGTAATAGATCCCAGAGGACATCAAAATGTGATAAGAACATCAGTGAAATACTCAACTTTGCTTTGGTTGCCCCTTTTTTGTTCTTATCACATTTTGATATCATCTGTGCTTGATTACAAGGCAGGCACAAGGCAACATGATAGAAATCTATTTATTTCAAAATTAGGCAATATTATGTGTGCCTGCAGTGTTGATTATAGTGAAATGAAAGTGATATGCTGATCTTCAGACATTTTGATGAAAGACTTGAACATGCCAGAGCCATCCTCTACTGCTGGCTGGCAATGATAGTTTGTTTCCTTTCTTATTTTCAACCTTGATAAGAACTTGATTTCACATATTTTTAAGTGGCTGATAGATTTAGCCCCTGAATACCTTACATTATTATGTGAACAATTGACCTTATTTTTTGTCTCCCTAGACAAAACAAAGGTATCACAATTATTGGATAGCAGTCTGTTCCTGTCCTGAATAGTGTCTAACCCTTGGTGCCATCATGTTTTCTCTTAAATTTCAGTATATACTGATCCCTTCTATTCAGCCAGTGTCAATTGCCTATCATGAACTGTGGAAGTCAGAAATGCTATTTCTAAGGTGACGTTTTGAGTGCTGTGCTTACAGGTGTGTTACTTTTAATATTTTGTATTATAAAATCCCAATCCCAGGCCTCTCAAGGAAAGCAAACCCAAAAATTGAAATAAAAAGTGATGGTTGAAAAAAAAGTCTAAGAACAGGGTGATCAACACTTCCTTTATAGGGCAAAACTCAGTTAAAAGATTACAACCAGCTCTAATATGTAATGGTAGTAAGCCTAAATGATGCAAGAAGGTCATGAAACCCTTTCAGTTGAGCAAAGATTTTTATTGTCCTTCACATCATCCTTGACATTGAAATTAATCTTTTATAATCTTTGCAAGGAGTGTAACCCATTTCTTTCCAATTTTCCCTGTTATTTATTTACCCTTTATAATATTGCTATTATTTTGAATATTGGGCGTTAACTTATCATATGAAGATAGTCTAATGATAATTTTATATTTATGTTATTTGTATCAGGATTATTCAATGGTATATATTTCTTTATGCAGTTGGTGTGATATCATATAATTATAACTTAACCAACTTCATAAAATGACTGGCAGTACACAAAGTCAATTGCTGTTGGTCTGATCATTATCGTCAAGTGTTGAAACCATACAAGTTGATTGAAATTAATAGCAGGATACTCACTATTTTTATCAGTTTGAACCGTCAATCTATCAGGGGAGCTGTCAGCACCTAGTTAATTAAGCAGTAAAATAATTGAACAACTTGATCATGCAAGTTGCCATACATGTCTAATTCATGGTTTACACCTTCTACCTGGGCTTTAGCAAGATCTAACGTGGAACCCATTGTTTCTTCAAAGAAAAATGAAGCTCAACATAGAATTTATGAAGTGAAACATTTGATTTTGCTAAGACCACAAAGAGATACATTGTCTATGGTCAATTCAATTACATAAAGTACTTTGGTGTGACTCTTGGTTGAAAAAATATCATTTTATGTTTCAAAGTATCCAAGTCATGCCCATTCCCTTTTTACTTACATAGAGAAACTATTGAGTGTTTCATCCAAATGTTGCTGCTAAGTCCTATAAATTTCCCTTTTGTACACCTGTAGATGCTCTATTATGTGTGCAATATTGTATGGTGGCCTTGAATATGTTGTCCAGTTAAATATGTGTATAGTTCAGGTCGTAGTTTGTGGCCACCTTGAGAATATGGAGGGCAATAACAGTCTCATAGGCAAAAGGAGTTAATTGACAGGTTAACCTTTTTTGTTTGGATGTTCTTGCTAACCTAAAGACCCATATAAATCATCCAGTTATGATAAAGTGTATGCAAGTTTAATTTGCTCTCTTTCAGAATGTCATATGGAGCAGATGGATTGCCTTAGCAATCAAATTATGATCAAATAAATCTTAAATCTAGGGCATTAACCCCAAGACAAAAAACCATTTTTGAAATCCTCTTAATGCTTAATACAAAACCCTTAAAAATCTGTCCATTTTAAGATAATTTAGGAGCGGCACATTGTTACACTGTACCTGAATATAGTGAATCAGGAGAAGGATTTGCAGCTGAACCTCCCAAAAATTGATCTGAAGGGGTAAAAAAAAATAACTACAAAGAACATAAGCATGCAAGAATTTCTTGTGTTTGTTGTAGGAGGGGGGGAGGGGGGGGGGCTGGGGAGGTACTAAGACCTTTCTTTGCCTCCTCTATTTTCTGCCCCCCTAAAGCTGCAGTTTGTGTGATGACCTTTTGCTGGGTGCTTTTGCACTTATGGTGTGTCGAGGTTTGTTTTGAGGGGATAGGATAAAGTTAAATTTACAAAAGATATTGTGATTGTATTCTAGTGTATAATTTTTCTTTTCCTGTTGAGTATATATTGGATGGTGAATATGCCATAACTATTTTTTAATTTTATTGCATACATTTGTGTTTGGTGAAGTAAATAGCATTTGCAACCAAAAGTTAACTTGGCTACATGTTGTCTAAATACCCAGTTGGTTGATGATTAAAATGTTTAAGATATGGATGGCATAGTACAATACTTTGCAAGTAAAAATTCTAGAAGTTGGTGTTATTCAAACTAAAATTTTAACCTTTTTTGGAGTGATCCATCCAATTAAAACATTTATCTTGATTATTATGTATTCCATATTAGCTTTTATTGGCTTAAATGTACCTGGCTCAAATCTTTTCCTCTTGTTTCCTTTCTCAACATCTGTATCTAAAAATGAAGATATACTTAACTTCAATACAATAATTGCTAAACAGACAATATTGTTACAATTAATGTCCTCAATATGTAGATTTAAACTATCAATTGAAGTATTCCGATATGCATTTGATAGTGATCAATACCATGAATGCTTGACTCTTCATTGGGAGACAAACAATCAAACATTCATTTATATACAAACCTGTGACGAACAATAACATAAATTTCTATAACAGTTAACATCTTCTGAAGATTTACTACCTAAAAGTAGACAAATTCTTTTTCTTTTCTTAGTTATGGCTTTATTATGCATGTGTATAGATAGCTTTATTATACTGATTTATACATTTTTAGCAAAGGGCTATAAAATGACAAAATGTGTAAATAAAATCAGTCAAAGTAGAGTAAGGTACATGTACTTCATTTTTTTACTCTTGTGACAAGACAAAAAAGTCATATTTCTAGAATCAGCACAACCGTTTAGGTGTGAATCCAAGTGCTGTGACTCTTTATCATATCACTTGCTTTTAATTGGAAATAATAACTTTTTTACTTTGTATTAGTACCTGCAGGTTCTCTGAGTGTTTTTGGTTTTGTTCTGATGCGAAACTCTTTCGAGGTAAAATTTATCTGTGAGCCGTCAATAAGTTGTACAGTGATGATAAGGTGCCATACATTTCTTGTGTTTGTTTCAACCTTAGCAAGCTTGTAAACGGGGTCTCCATTTGAATTCTTGTAAGCAGAGTCTAGGTTGAAAGAGAAATTTACAGACTGCGCTCCGTACTCTTTGTAAGTTACTTTTAGCTCCACAGACCCTGTTGAAATTAAACCAATTTATGATTGTAAATTAAGTATACTATGCATGTTTGTATATATTTCACTGTTTCTGTTCTCTATGGGTTTATTTACCCTGGATAAGCAATATGTAATGGATGGGAAAATGAAAGGTAAATGTTCAATGATACGTTTTCAAAATTACATTCTAGATGCACTGTTTGTGTCATACACGTATCTGTCCTTCTGGTCTGGTGATAATTAGTATTGAGGAAGTCTATGTATGAGATTATTTTGAATACATGATAAGCAAGTTACATATGTGATGCATAGTTTTGACCTGTTTCTTTTAAAACAATTCGCACTTCCGATGTTGTAACTGCTTCCTTGTGTAAGTATGAATGTACTTATCACTTAACAAGCCTGAGAAAACAATCTACAAGTTTATTACCAATTAGAGATGAATCAATCCAATTGGGCTCAAATTCAAAGCTTTCCAAATCTTTTTATTTTAGGGGTTGCTAGAGTAATTCTCAATCAACTTTTTTCTACCGATAGATTTACCTTTTGCTTTACTAAGTGCATGAGTTAGCAGCCTAGGGCTTTTTTCATGCACTCCTTTACTGAATTATGGTAGACAGCTTTCATATATTATCCTTGAGTGTCAAATAATGTTATGTTATACATTGTGAATTTCATAAATGGAATTTACTATCCATACAGTAATATTACCAACCTACTGTATCATTGACTCTTGCTGCTGCCTCAGGAGTGCGTCGAACTAGTACTGTGATACTATTTATTTGACCAGCTGACCAGGCAACACCATTAACCCATCCTTTTGCTATGCGTTGTTCAGATATACCTGGCACCTTTGTTTGAACTTTGTCATAGACATCTTTTAGGTCAAACAACTCAACTCGAATATCAGGTAATGGTGGTTGGTTGAATGTGAAAAAATCATCGGGTACATTTCCTAGATAGGATAGCAATCATTGAGGAGAATTCAATGATGACTTACTTTGGAATCACTTGAAGTCTTTTTCATGTACCTTTTCACGAGCACATATAACTACCTCCATGCATACACATATGTTACACAGCAATTGCATCAGTCTCAGATACTGAATTTATACATGTTGGCTTTCTTGCCCCTTGTACCGATCGTATGTAATGAATTCAGCATCATACACGTATATTTATTACCAGGATTTGCTGAATAAAACTTGCAATGCTGAACATGTCGGGAATTTTCTTTTTAAAAGGCATTTAGTTGAAGAGCAAACCCTAATGATACATTAGAAAGAGTTAAATACCAAAAACTGAAGTTCTACTGGATAAGGCATGATGTCAGCGAGACAGGTCTGAGAACGGAAGTATCCTTATATCCACAGCTTTTCATTTGCTGTAGTGAAAGTAACAATGTTCGGTTCGCCAACTCTGTCATCGAAATTTTTAAGCAGCTCATCGAGAATGGCTCTCTATTAGTACCGTAATATGTTTTTGACTGTGTAATCTATGCGTTCCTTGCTCTCCTTTCACTCCTACTCTTGATAAACGCTCCCGACCAATTCAAATCACTTCTTGACATTCGTTTACAAATCCTAAGGAAAGGCCGAAGCTCACATTCTCTTGTTATGCAAAGTAGCTAATGAACTGAGCGTTGAATTTGAAAATCGGAGTTGAACCCCCCAAATGCCTACCTTGATCACTGTTCAGAACTGCTTCTAAGTCCTTTAAACGGCTTTCTAAATCACAACTCATTGTATCCCGCAACATGTAAATCCTTGTCGAAGCCTAAGAAAACAAAATTTTTGAACGATGTGTGGTTTGGCTGAGTTTCGAAATGCTGATACGTTTCTCAGAGGTCAGCTAAAACTTATGTGGGGCCGAGAAAATCGTCAAGGTTCTGAGATTGAAAGCGGAATTTTCTCAACTGGCGTAGGTTTCTCGTCCATCATACTGGTATATTTCTGGGAAAGTACCTTTACTCACTTCCGCTTTAGTTTTGTCGAAATAATAGCGAAAGTTAACTAATTAACATGTTGTGACCTGGGAGAACAAAGCGAGAGAGAGAAATAGGATAGAGATAAAGAAGCGCGGATGGATCTCTTTTTTTTTTCTGGAAGAGGTGTTGAGGATTCCAGTTTGGGCTAAAAATTTCCAGGTGTCGTGGAATCCATTGTAGACTCTGCCCATACGGGTTGTTTGAAGCCAGGGTTGAACCTTGTTTTGGGACACGTGTTCTCCCAATCATGTTTACGCATTTCACGTGTCAAGTACACCAAGTGTCACCGAGTCTTCAGAATGTCACACAGTGTTTCTATTTTTTGTTGGATGTCAACTTCCCTCTCACGGACTACTGATTTTATTCAATGCGTATTATTCATTTGGTGACACTGTACACACCAGTGACATTTTTGTGTGACATTTTGATGGCCATTATGCTAAGTGATTGACATGATTCTTGTTCGTATCACGTCATCACTAACTTCCTACAAAAACAAGCGAGTGTGTAGTCTTCTTCAGGCAGCAAAACGATTCACCAATCATTTAACTACCTTCAGAACATATTTCTAAGTTAAATTCACCCAGACTGTCTGTCCGAATTTAACTACCTTCAGAACATATTTCTAAGTTCAATTCACCCAGACTGTCTGTCCCTTGTAATGAAGAGCTTTCAGCGAAGCCCGCTCGCTGCAAAACGGCTGAAAACTTGTCGCTACGCGTAAAAAATTGATAAATTTTAACTTTAATTTTTACTTGCAAACAAGGCAAAATCTTTTTCTTATCTACGATATTTCATTTTGAAAGTATTAAAATCCAATCTCACAGCTGTGTTTCAAAATATTTGTTTTTAGTGGTGTCAGTTTGCGAAGTAGGTTCTCCACTTCGTCAGTAAAATTATGATAGTCTTTGTAATGTCTAAGGTTCAAGGTGTCACGTGATCTACTGTTTGAAAAAAAAAAAAAAAATACTGTCAACTTTGCACGTTTTTGCTGATAGGAAGTTCAAACAGTTCAATCTGAAATCATTGAGAAATTCGATAGATGGATATAAGGTTCGATGAAAGTTCAATGGCTCGTAAAGGTCTCGTGTTGTATTTTGGCAAAAGGCCTAGGTCGCATCTGGAGATTTATTATCGATACTTTAACGTCCGAGCTAAAACTGTAACCCTCGGTGTAAAACTTGCTTGTTTTGTGATATATTGGATTGCGGATTTCCGGACTATTAATTACGATATTTATATTCATAAGTATGTAAAGCATATGTTTGTGTGTTTTTAATGCCAAGAATATTCATGTACTCTTATTAGCTCGAACGCTAACTGGAGAAGATAAAGGGAAGATTAATTCTTACTTTGCGACTCAATTTCCGTAGATCGCTGTAGTTTTGACGATTGGGACCGGCGATTCGGGCGGTCTTACGGAAACTAGGCTAATGCACAAACTCAGTTCTATCGTATGATCCTCGCTTAATCCTGTATTCGGAAAGACTGGGACAATCTTTACGATCATATGCAAACTAGAGTTGGATTAAAGAAATCTCTTGCAAAGTTACATAGGCAAGACTGTTAAGAAGTGCGAAGATATTTAGGGAGAGATAGGTACCAGTAAGTCAAAACCATAGGTCACGGAGCAGAATCTTGACACTTGCATCTCTACTCTCAAACGTAAACATTATTCAAACACCACTCCCTCTTGTGGGGGCTGGTTGTTCCTACTCACACATTCAAACAAAGCGCAATTTTTTAAACCCATCTTCCCCAAGAATATTTCGAAATACTGGTGAGTTAAGTCTTCGTTTATGGAAAATCATATCGTGTAACACTCAAAAGATCGATGGTTATCTAGGGCTTTAAAGGAAATATTAGTTGAGTGGTGATAATTGAGAAAGTAAAATTAAATGAAATTTGACACATCAATAGCGTTTTGGCGTCTTGTGGATTAGGAAACGAGAATAGAACAGACACACCTAAACGATATCACAATGATAATCGGTTTTGGTGCACAGACAATGTTTATTTTCTTAGTCGTTTGGCGGTTTTTCTGATCGAGGCATCGCTCGATATGTAGATATTGATTCATATTTTCCGAGTTGTGGTTCCATCTTTTCATTAAGACAAATCGGCTTTTAAGCTAAATTGGTAATTGATTTTCTTGCTATCTTTATGCATGTCTTAAAAGAAGGCCGCGCTAAATTTCCAGTGACATCTACGAGAGAAATTAATTGCAGTAGTGTAGGTTACTCAGCAAAGTACTATCGTGACAACGTTTACTGTTACCGGCCGAAGTGTCGCGTGACTACTTAACTTCCTCTCTGTGATTGCACAATCGCGGGTCAAGGCTTTCAAAACAAGAATCATGTGAATGTAACATTTCGCAATAAACATTTCCTGAAATAGATGAAACTGTCGTTCAGAATACCAGTTTTATACTTAAGAGTTCCTGCTATATGATCTGGAGATCTAAAAGACGAAAGCAAAGAAGAAGGAGTTGGAAATTCATTTTGACAAAGATGATAATAGAATCTCAGTTCCGACTATACAACAATAATATTATAATACCCTTCTAAACGGTCTCCTTAACGATATTTTCAAACGCTTGGCAGTGTTATTTCATAGGTCCTCCGAAGTGTCTTTATGAACCCAACAGATTGAAGGTGTTAGACTGTAACTCCTCGGTTCTTACCATTTTTTTTTCTTTCTTTGCGTGTAAGACTCATTTTAAATGCGCGTTGCTGTGAACACATTTTCGTTACACAGAATGCATATTTAAATATTTCATTCAACAGTTTGTTTGAATTTCTCTTCGCTGCGTGTGAAAAACACAAACATCACAGTCCTGCACCGTAGCTTAAAAGTCGTAAAATGTAACTCTCGTAACTTGAAAAAGTGTTTATGACCGTATGCACGCATCTAGTTTTGTCGTGTAAATCGCCGGTGAGTTTTGTTTTCTTCCGCCGCAACAAAGTTTGCGTAAGAGGCCAATTGAAACATAAATACCCGCCCCCCCTTCGAATCGGAAGTAAAGCATGTTTACTATTGGATAAGCGTGACTTCCTCTGTCTGGGAGCCTTACTTAAAAATTTCTACGGGAAGTTCAGTAGAATTTAGTTTTAAATCGTATCACCACTGTATTGCAAGAACAACAGAGCATTCAGTTTTGCCAAATGGATCGGAAGATCGATACAACCTTGGAGGAAAGACTCAGCGATATTGACGAATTTATCCAGTCTGAACTGGGATTCCCTCCTGTGAGTCATAACTCAGAGTCAGTTACAGTCGAAGAACTTTACAGCATAAGCTCCCTGTTTCGTGAAGCTGGGGACGAATTATTAGGTGAGCAGAAACTTTATTTGGGTGTTGCAATTGTATGCGTGGGTATCGAAGGCATTGTTCATCACCGGCAGGCGGTTTAAGGAATGATCGATCTACACGGTTAAGCCATCCGCCTTTAGTTTCTCTCCTTTTTTATTCTGCTTCCTGATTTTTTGCTAAATTGGCTTTTTTTTGAGAAGTCAAAAGCTTAAATTCGGATCTCAAACAACACTCTGCTAACTGATCAGATACTTCTTAAATTTACATAATACTAATCTAAGTTGCAAACAGGCGCCATCTCAGGCTAACGTGAGCTGTCTTAGGCCCCATTCACACCAGCGGAGCACGTTAAGGAAATGTAGGCTTAAAAGAATGAAGATCAGCGGAAGAAAATTAAAAATTTTGGTTAAGATTTAACTAAACTGACTTACGTGTATTTTTATCATGCTAAATTCGAAGTCGACAAAACTTGATGATGATGCGGCTTTTATATCGTGTATTCTCCATGTAAATATGCTCTAATGCACTTTACAACAACTTTGGCAAGGCTCAATAAGCAGTCTACAATTTTTGTTTGAAAGGAGATTTTTGCATGTACCCCCAACTTTTTGGAAACAAGGCCAGATCACAATACCGGAAACCACGTTCGTAATGTTTATTAAATGTGTGTAGGTTCTTGTACGTCCTCAGCCAACCAATACAGATAATATGCTCGAGAAGAGGCCGACGGTTTATTGTCCTTATCGACTTAAGTTTAAGCAATTTTTATACAAGTTTCAAAAGCGATTTTAGCATGTACGTCCAACTTTTCGGGAACAAGGCCAGACTACAATACCGGGAGCCACGTTCCCTAGTGTGTGCTAGACGTGCGTAGGTTCTTATACGTCCTCAGCTAACCAATACAGATAATATGCTCGAGAAGAGGCCAACGGTTTATTGTCCTTATCGACTTAAGTTTAAGAATTTTATAAAGAAAGCACTTTCAAAACGGGTCGCACAAAACAGTTTTGTAGCATGTTTTAGCTTTGGTGTGAATGGGGTATAATGTAAAAACAACTAAGTAAATTTCGTCGGTCGAACGTATCTCAACTGCGATGACTTGAAATCTTGCAGAGAACGAGACAAATTGTGTCCCGAAGAGGGCTTGCGAAGTTGAAGTAGAAGTTCAGATCGTGGGTCTCAAAGATGTCTACGACAAAAAGACGAAGAAAACTAAAGAAGGATTTGAATATCGCTTGGACGACGCAGAAGTAACTGTGATTGTCCAAGCATCTGATGAAATCTCCAGCATTCGAGCTTACACTCAAAGGTGTCACGAGGCTGCGATGAGGACTCATGATACAATTGGTATTCTATGCACATTTTTATACTTTCTTTAGGTGCCTTTGTTATTTTTTATCAGCATCATTTGACACGCTGTGCTCTTCTTAAAAGACGGCATTTTGAGATATTTGATATATTTGTTTTTGTAGGTCCAGTGGAACTTGATGTAAAAGTTGTTCAGAGTGAGGCCAGATTCCGAGTCGTTGTAGTAGACCTTGGGTCGGTGTACAAGACACAGGGAGGTGATCCAGTCTACTGGCTAGAGAAAGCAGAAGTCATTGAAAGGAATAAATGGGAAATGATGATAGAAATGGAGTTTGGTTCAGACTTGAAAGGAACAGTTAAGTCAGAGCCATTCAGAGTTACAACCAAAGCAAGTTACAAGATAAAAGGGAAAGGAGGTTGGTATTTTTTTATCATTAATGAATGCAAGGAAGATGAAAGGCGAACTGACTCTTGTCTGATGAAATAAGATTGTTGTTGCGCAGGCAAAATGCAGGCCAAATATTAAGAAATGGTTTCAAGGTTCAGCTCAACGTTTTAGTTGAAAATGGAGCATTGGTACTCGGTTCTATTTACATAAACTTTTAAACTAAAAGAAGGTAATCATTTGCCAAAAGGAAGTGGAGATTGATTAAATTTTCGTTGGACGTCCGTCATATCAACTTCGAATATCCTACAAGCTTTTTTAGGTACTAATAACCAACAATTTCTCTTGTAGATTTGCCCAGCTGTGGAAATGTACAAAGGTTATTTCGAAAATTCGGTTGGCCAAGTGACAGCAGAGATGTTCCTGATAGACCCTTTAGTGGAATAAAACAAGGTTGGTTAAATGTTATTTTTTTTGTTTGTATATGCAAGTGGTTATCTTCCTTTATAAAAGTGTAAGTCTTTAAAGGAAATCGTTCAAACTATGCAGATATAAGATAGAACCATAACACATTTTTGCTACGTAACAATGGTTCTTTATGGGTGCTCCTAAGTGTGTGGTATGGGCATGTGCAAAGTCTTATTTTTCTGTTGTTGATGACCAGAAGCACAATCCAGGGGTAAATGTGTAACATGGGCTTTAATTAGCTTTTAAAAAAAGCAATGACCTTTTTTATTTTGCTCTTATCTTCTTGTGTGTTGTAAAGATATATTAAGTATAATGGTTATGAGCTATTAATAGCATTTGTGAACAAGTAATGGCCCAATGTTCTTGAAAATTCTTGAGGTTACTAGACGTGTTGTCATCCAAGTTTAATTTTCATCAATCAATACTCCTATAAACTAACAATGCCTTACCTTATTTATCCTATGTCTTCTATTTTGATGTTTCATTCATTTGTTTATTTTTGGTTACTTTAAGTAATAACCCTTTAGCCTAAAACCATGAAGACGAGCTACTTAAGTGGTTGTTAGTTGTTTGAAGTAACTGTATAAGATTTAAATTTTTTACGGAATGTACTGGTGTCATGTAGAACAGTGCGAATTATGGTTTACCAGCTGAAGTGATGTCATTTGTATGAATTAAAAGCATTGGTGGAAATGATAAGGAACTATGAGAAGCTCCACACGTAATGAATTTGTTCCCTTGAGGTGAAATTATTGTTTTCAGCTTCTTTTCTTGATATTTATTATGCAAACTGTCCGATAACAACTTAGTTAGTGAAGTAGTGTGAAATAGGAGTTTTTTTTTAACCAGTCACAATCGAGGAAATTGTAATCTTTATGAATATCCTCTTAAACCTCCTTTCTTATTTCGTTTTCTCTCCATCCTGTTACTCTTTTCGTTTTCGTAGTTTCCATGTTGCCTTTTTGTTTCAAATTTTAAACGTCAGGCTAAGTATCAAGAAAACTGGTAGAAGAAAGAAAAATCGGAAAAAAGAACGAAAAACACATGCCAAAACATAAAACAGAAATGAACGAACAAAAATCCACTTGCGGTACACCCTTCTGAAGTCACTGGCTACCAAGCTCTACAACTAAGTTGGGGAACCTCCTCCTGAAAATATCCATTTATAACAGGATACAGGAGAGAGATGGCTGAGTAAGGAATTTTGTTCGGTACTTAGACATTTTGCTTTTAAATACTCTGCAAAAACAGGAGGCGTTAGAATATATACTCGGTACATCGATAACGTGCTTTTTGCTTTTTGATGATCTCAAGGGTATAACTGTCTTTACTAAAGTCAGGCTGATTTGCGATTATTCTTTGTGCGAGCTGCTGCTGTTTGGCTTTTTGTGATTTCTTTAATTTTGTTCTATGACACCCTGTGTCAGAATTTGAACGTTGTTCATTACCTTTTTGCGGTTAGTGCACTGCATAGTGCTCTAGCAACTACGTTTTCTTGTATGTAGGAGTGAGGAAGCGAGTGTGCGCCCACAAACAGGTCTGTTCGTGCATAAATCATGACATTCATACGAAAAATGGGGAATGGGCGAAGGTTGAAGAAAAAATGGAAAGTGAGGGATGGGTAATGATGAATCGGAATTGAGAAATTGAAATTAATTTGAAAAATTGCTTCTACTTTGGAATAATCTCCTTCAACAACGATAGTCGATATTAACACTTTTAAATTAAAAAGGAAAAAGGAATTTAGTGATAGGGAAGGTTGCCCTTCCATTGTTTGATAATTTGACAACTTGAATTTAAGCAACCAACGAAAATTGTGAATCTAGTTTCTAGAGGTGGCAATAATTATGGTCTTTGGTCAAACTCTGAATACGAAACTGAAATATTGTGAGTATCAGCGGAGGTACAGTAGGACAAAAGCATGTTCGGTGAACCCATGGGCGCCGCCAATTTCATATAAATTCATCATCTGCTCAGCTTGATTTTCAGCTTTGCTTTTTTATAAAATGCTCAAAGAAGTGCGCGCGCCGTGATTGGTCAGAACGAGTTCATTATATTTCCATAACGCTCGTGCCTTACGTCACACGAGTGCACTGTTGAGATATAATGCACGCAGCCTACGTCATTGGTATGAGCGCGCGCAATTTACGATATATTTTATAAAAGAAATAAAAAAACTTGTTCCTCGAGCATTGTTGAGTTATATAAGCACTTGGGAATTTTTAAGAACACTCGAGAAGTGCGAGAAGCACTCACCTTAGGCTCGTGCTTCTCCGCACTTCTCTCGTGTTCACAAAAATTCCCGCGTGCCTATATAACTCAACAATGCAATCGGTGTGTTTTTTATTTCTTTTATAATGGTGGTGGGCTCGAGTGGAGTCCAATTCGGTATGTAATCACACGAATGATTTACAAAATCGGACGACCGCAAAGCGGGAGTCCGATTTGTTAATCACGAGTATGATTACAGACAAGAAGAAGACAAGAAGAAGTCCTGTTACTAATTAATCATAACCATTTCAATTTCCGAAAAAATGAATACACCTAGATTCCACAGTTTTTCTTTGGATAAGTGGTTGTTGCCATGGTTGTTTTGATAATTTTTGCGATTGTTAGATTAGCTGTGTGGACTTAGTATGATTGGCTGCTTCAATTGTCCGATTACAGCCAACTGTCCGATTACACTGTCCGATTACAACTGTAAAAAACGATTAGTGAAAAATGAAGCTGCGAATGCACCAATTATATTGGAGGAATTTGTAATGGTTATAATAATGGTAATTGAACTGAGTGGAGTGCAATTTGTATGGGTAATCACATGATTTCGAGTGCAATTTGGAATAAATAAGGATTAGTAAATTTTTGAGACTAACAAAATTGCACGAGCCCGTAGGGTTCGTGCAATTTGTGGTTTTGAAAATATTAACGGTTGCTTATTTATTCCACGAGAAAAATCATGTGATTACGTGTTAATAATATACATGAAAAAATACGAGATAGCTTATCATAATTAAGCAGACGCAAAGCGCGCGCATCAAGTGCAAAAATAATTTATTCAAACCGTGCGTTTGGTCAAAACAACCGTGTACGATAAAAAAATAATATACAATGATATATTCGCATCTTTAAGGCGCAAGAAAGTTTAAAGTCCGGCTAAACAGTTCAAGAAATTGTTCAGTTTGTGTCCGAATTACTTTCAATGAAATGGAATCGTCGTTTCCGAGGTTTAACCATGTTTGTTTTCAATTTCGGCGTAAGATCGCTCGAGCAAAGTTTTAAGCCGGGTCGGCTCGTAATTTTCGATTTCCTTGGCAATTCCCTTCTCTAAACACCACTTTTTCCAAACCGACAACCAAAAAGCAGTGCTTTTAGCAGTGTTTTCGTTGAGCTGTTTTTCGGCTGCGGTGGCGAAAGAAAACCTACTCAAAACACCGGCCATTGTTTCGCTCGCAATTTTTCAAATTTTCAAATTTTGTTGCGACATCTAAGGCTCGCATTTGATTGGCTATCTGTGAGTGTCTTTGATTATCGACCAATTAGAATGTCTGGTTTGCTATTACTTTTGCACTGAATTAACCCTCTTCTGCACTGAATTACCTGAAAACTGCATTTATCTTAACCAATCAGAACTGAGTAATTTTTTTTATGTATATTATTAGGGCTGAAATCATACGCATGACTTCAAAATTGAACAAGCGCGCAGCGCGAGTTCGATTTAAAAATCACAAGTTTGATTTCAGACGAAAATTGCACGACACGAGGTTCAATTACCACTTTATTACATCCATTTTGAAAACGCCCAAAGACAGGACTTGGTCAAATATTTTATTGATGCAGTACTGAGCCGGTTTGAAATTAAATTCATCCATTTTCTGGGGGAAAAAAATAAGAGTTTTTTGGAAACAGAAGATGCAAAATTTGCTACATGATACTCTTTGTCTTTCATTTTCCTGCAGTTTGATAGGTTACTTTAAACAAGCCTTGAAATCTGTTTGGTTGTTTTGTTTTTAGTGTAGCCTGCTTATTGACTTGGAAAAAGATGCGATTTAAAGCAAAAATGGTGCGATTCGTGAATAAATCGCACCAATTAGTGCCAATCAGATTACAGGGACCATCAGTGATTTCAAAATGGGTGTAATAAATTATGTAATGGGCTTCCTCTGTGAATGAAAATAAAAATCTTGGTACTCAGTGATCTCCCGGAGTGTGCAATTGATCTGATATATTTATCACCAAGGTTCTTGGTGAAGTATCGTATTAACTTCGATATGTCTTCTGAGCTGGTATTGAAAATACTTTAGAGATATTAGATTTGTAAATAGTCATTTTAGTTTACAGTGGTTTTATCCTTTCACAGAATTTTCAAATGAAGCGGCATGTTCTTTGAGCGGAGAATTAGACGCCTTCTCTTTTACAAAGGAGGACGACAATACATCGGGACACTGTCCTGCTGACAGTTTTGAGACCGATCTCGAGTCTGGTTGTGAACCCTTGGCTGGCAGGAAAATTTTGTTTAGAGATCACACCACTTTAGATAGAAAGATGGTTAGTGTTTAGTGACGTTGTGTATTTTGGCTTGCGTCCACATTGTTCGACAAAACATGTTATGATCAGAGCGGCATAACTATAGAGCCATGCTCTCTTCATTCTTCCTCTCCATCTAACTTCAAAGCATTGATGGTTATTGCCTTGTGCTCCGAATCCTACTACTCGTCTCAACTACTGACTCAATTAATTGAATTGTGTTTTAAATCAATACCATTAATATTTGCTTGCAGAGGAGAAAATATTGATTAACGGTCTTCTTCTAGGTTTCAAAGTATTACAATAGCAAATCATCAATTCATTATATTGTGGAGCAACCCGAGGATCCTGGTCTTCTAAAGTTGGTCGGGAAAAGATGTATGGTTGGGAGCACTCGCCGTAAAGCAAACGGACACAAGAGCGCCGAAGAGGATTTCTGGTGGGCTTGTGGGCACTGTTTCTTCGAACGTCGTAAGAAGTCGACCATAAAAGCCCATGTTAGTCAAAGGGTTTGTCAAAAGTCGATTGAAAATAAATTGTCAAAGAGAAAATTAACAAGCCGCCAACACAGTGAAAGTGACTTAGTGGAACCTCATTTTCTTGGTTATACGTGGAAGGACTCTCTTTCTGTGTGAATTGTGTAATACTATTGAGGTATATTAATGGTTTGACGCTCACTGAAAGTGAAGTAAAGTAAAGTAAAGTAAAGTATTTTGTTAATTATGCCAGATAATATGTAATTAAATGTGGTGTATATATCTTTTTCATATTGGTGTATATAAAATTTAAAATATCAACATTATAAGTTATAGAGTTGTTTTCCAAAGTGATCTATTTTTTGAATTTTGTAAAAATAATATTTTATGATTTTAAGGATGACATTTTGATGATAGGTTTTGTCAGAATCCGCCTGGAATGCGGGTTTAAGATTGAATACTATTTAAAAGAAGAGGCAAATAATCCATTGCACAGTCGGGTGCACTGTTGCCAAGCCTTTTACCAAGAGGAAGGTTAGAATTTGTCGGCAGAAACTGTTCCTCTTTTCATACTTGAATTGGGTCTTTTACAAGCCAAATGACTTGTCGTCTCTATCATTCTAAGTACTCTCCAAACTTAGCTTTTGTATTGAGCTTTGATAATATTCACATAGTGTTACAAACTGTAACACGTTTGAAGCTGAGCTATAATGAAATAATGCATGGCACAAAAAACGAGCAAAACAACGTTTTGTAACTGTATCCCGTGGTTGGTCCACGAGTTACACAAACTATAAATAAATTTCCAATCTTTACAAAAATCGAGTTTTTGTCTTTTCTCTGACTGCTAGGAATTGCATGTAGAGGGGAAGTAGGGCATTCCTCATTGAATTATCCATCAGTTTTGAAATTTAGATGACATACCAGCTGAAAAGGGCTTGATCGCAAAGAAGCACAATCCACTAACCATACACAGATTGAAAAAAGGAAAAAGGACACTACGACTTGCTCGTTTTCAGTCATGTCCTGTCATTAAGTTAAGCAGATATTTCAAGGATATTATGGCACTTTAAATCAATTAAAAATTATCCTATTATTAGGTTAATCTGCCTGTTGTTCATCCAGAATTTTGTAATTTTCGGTTCAATTTGATAGTGGATGTTGTTTGTCTCTCCTCAGTTAAAAAGGTTTTTCTTCATGTTTCCCTGTGGAGGTAATATAAGTAAAAATCATAAAAGATATGTAAAGATATACAAAAAGCTTTATAATGCAAGACAAAAATTTATAAATACAATAGGTCGAGCGTAAGTGCTCTCAATTAACTTTTAGAATCACAGCCCAACTGAATTTTGCATCCGATTAAAAATTGAACATATCCTCATTAGCCTCACCAGAAAGCTTGAGTCGCTACATGTTTTCTCCATTGAGTTTTTTCATTGTCATTTTTAGATTTCCTTTAGATTCAGCAACGATTTTATTTTTCCTATAAAAGTACCGGTTTTTATAACACTTGGAAGCAGTCAGTATCGCTGATTCTTCTTATTCTCGAAAGACCTAGGTTCACGCGCGCGGGGGCGGTTGTGACCATTGCGAGTTTTATAAAAAGCATGAGCAGTGACTGAAGCAGGCTCCGACTGGAGCTATTAGATCATCTAATTCTGACAACTTGCTTTGAGGATTTGTCTTAATATAAGGGAGGAGGGAGGGCTTCAGCGAAGGATTATTGGTAGTCTTGCAACCCTATACGTTAATATTAGGGGGCCTTTGTTTTCTATGTGGGGTATAGTACTGTAAGGCCGATTTACACGATTCACATGCAAGAAGCTTGCGACAGGCCTACGATACGACTTTGTACGCGCACGACATTTACACTAACGGCATGCCAAAATCGCGCACGAGATTCCTCTCTCTCTCTTAATATCTTCCTTGTGCCAGCCATTGAACAGGACTTCTTCTAAATATTTGAAGCGGTAGGATCGATGATGATTTTTTCTGGTTTTGTTTCTTGTTCAGACACGATCTTATATAATGAAATAATCAATTGTTGTATTAAACGTATGCTTGAAAATGTTTAAGTTCTGTACTTTAAATGTCCAGAAAGTTACATGTTACAAATTCTCTGGAGTCTTAGAGAGGTATCCCTGCAATGGGAAAGTTCGATAAATGAACGCGACGGTACACCGTCATTACGAACAGGTACAACAGAAGCAAGAGATGTATACATATATTAACAAGCGTCTAGTTTAGTGTGATTGCTTCGATCCCCAAAGCGTCTTTGGCAGTTTCTTGGACTCCTCCATTTATAGACTTTTGATCCTCCTCTTGGAATTCCCCGACTCTGCTAACCCTTGATTGCCTTCTCATCCGATTTATCAGCAGAATCCTTGTCCGAGCTTGGCTCTTCAGACCTTTTTTCGTTTAAACTGGCTTCTAAGACCCGCATATTACGAACCATATTTGGAATTAAAAACGCCTTTTTCTAGCGGTCGTAGAAGAGGGTAGAAATGAAGACGCCTGATCGATTTCCCGGCTAACTCAGCATTGGTGGTTGCAATTTAGAACTATTGTTATTTTTGATCGCATCAAATACATTTCCAGCACACTCTCTTGAGGTAAGTTATTTCGAGAAGCAGGTACACCCTCTGTTGTAAACGCTTCTCCTTAATTTAATTTTGTCTTTTTTTTCTGCGCGATTGCTGATCTTGTCCAATGCGAGATGGAAACCTTCTTTTTAGGTTTATTAGGGTTGCAATCAGGAAATTTGAAACTTCTTGAAATTCTTATTGGAGTACCTTTACTCGTTTTTGAACTTCCTGAATATATTTCAACTCCTCACTTGCAAAGGTTTTTGGAGTATGGTCTTCTCTTTAAAGGACTTTTCGCTCGCTGTTTATGAATGATAACAACCCTGCTGCGAATTTCAAAGTGTTATTTACAGTGGCTAAGCAGGACTCACACTTGACAATGTCATCGCTCTTCTTGCAACCATCCACGCTTGCAATGAATTTTGTGCTGGTTTGACCTACTCCCTGCTTCTCGTTTCTCAGAAGATTTTTTTCCCACAGAATTTTACTTTTGCCACAAATAACAGATTCATATTTCTGCTCAACGACATTATTATAAAACTTCAAACTTCAACGTGTCGGTATGTGGGTTAGGAAGCAGATAATAACACTGGCTTTTTAGGAAAGGGAATAAAGGGGGGGGGGCTTAAAATCTTCCACCGTCGATATGGGGGGATCAAAATTAAACACTATGTACTTTAAGGGGGGTCGCGTAAATGCTCCGTTGTCGCAAAAAAAAATCCTCCGCGTCCCTGAAATATCATGGGACAATGGAAACAGAAATTGTTATAGAAAAACTGAATTACATGCGAGTCTCGCATATTAACCAGTGAGCAATTTGCGGTACTACGAACCCTCGAAAGTTCTGAGGACCCTAAATGTATAAAATGTCAAGCTGGCTAATATGAAAACAAAGGCAAGGTTTACTTTGCCCTCTTTAGAGGTAATGATACTAGCCCAAAACAGACGGATGAATGTCATGAGTTTTGCCCTTCTTGAACTTAGTTTCATACTTCTGTTACATAAGAAAACGAAACAAAATCCATCTCTCATCATTGGAGATTGCTTGAGAAAGATCATCAACCACCCTCCCGAAAAAGTAAGAAATGCGACGCCGCATGGCGTCAGAACGTTCTCTCCCAAGGCATTCAGGGTCCACGCGCAGACCCTTAACTCTGGAAATGATTTAGCTTGTAAGGCAGATGCTTTCCTTGCTTAGAATGGGCGTATGATACAGCTTTTTACAGCGTTTGGTCTACAATTTGCGTGCCGACAAGATAGCGGTTCTCTGTAAAGCGCCCGTCTTCTGTAATTTCTTTGTACATTTAATTACGGTGTTGCTGGCTCTATCGACAGTATCTGAACATGTTTTGTTCGAACCTCAATCGAGTGACTTAAACGAAACCAAGAAGACATCACTCATTGAGGATTGTTTGAGTCTTTTTACTCGACTTCAGGTGGGCTTGCCGTCAAATCTACATCGAAGGAGGTTCCATGGTTTAAAAATAAGCTATTATCCAAATGCTGACGCAACATTCCAGCTATGGAACATCGTATCTAGTGGAGATATTTTTTTAAACCCTGGACCATTCACTTCGATGGATTAATGCTCTGTTTGCAAGAGAACTGTAGCCCAAAACCATCGTGCTATTGAATGTGACAAGTGTAAATCGTGGTGCCACATAAAGTATGGAAAGGTGAGCTCAAAATCTTACAATGACATGTCCTACTTGTCTATTGAACACACAAAGAAATTTAAAAGTTGACGAACCTATGTTTGACCTTAATAACCAAGAGTCAGACATTGATGTATACAAGGAGTTAAGAACTACTCTGGGAAACAAGAATTTAAAGATCGGCCATATTAATGTAAATGGCCTCTTCAACAAGTTAAATGACATCCACTTTCTGCCTAAAGAAGTTAACTTTGATGTCCGAGGGTTTACTGAAACTAATTTAACGGACGAAATATCAAACAATACGCTTATATGGTACCAGGTTTTAGTCTGGCAAGGAGAGATAGACCATGTTCAAAAGGAGGAGGACTTGTAATATACTATCAAGAAAGTTTAAACGTGTGTGAAGATTCTAAATAGAACATTGACCAGGGCCTGGAAGCGGTTTGGTTAAATGTAAACAATACGTTCTCAATCGTCTTTACTTGGCTTTCTGCATCGTCCTCCCAATTCAACAACCTCTTTTGATGCTTTATATAGTTTGTTGAATAAGATCTGGGTTAAGAGGAAGAACGTTATATTGCATAGAGATTTCAGCTCTAATACGCCTAGTGATAATGAACAAGAGCTGTCCTGTCTGGTAAAAAGTTACAGAGGATACTTAGCAGCTTTAGGTATTCAAATGTTATCAAGCATCCAACAAGAGTTACTGCGAATTCTAAGTCATTGATCGATCTGATCATTGTTAGTCCTAACTTACATGCTAGCCATAATATGGCTGGCTCAATTGACCTGGGTAGTTCTGATCATCATCTTGTATATGCAGTATTTTCTGTAATACGGAGTAAACCAAAACCTAAAATAATCTCCGTCAAGAATCAAAAGTCATTAGATGTTGATAAGTTGAAAGGGGATCTAGATAAAGCCCCATGGCATATTATCAATACTGTTGAGGACATAGATGACAGTGTTTATTTGTGGGAAAATATGTTCAAAGATATACTAGGAAACCATATTAAATGTAGAAAAGCTAAGGTTAGGGACAAGTCACTCCCATGGATGGACACTGAAATTAGAAAGGCCATGAACCAACGTTACAAGTACTTGAAAGCTGCTCAAGCTAACAGAGGAGATATTGAGTTGTGGGATCGCTATAAATTGGAAAGGAACAGTGCTAAAAAGATGTTGAGGAGAGCTGAGGCTAATTACTGGATAAATTTAACGGAGAAGTCCAAATCATCCAGAGACTTTTGGAAAATAACAAACCGTATCCTAAAGAAAGGTAGACATGGAGAAATTGGTCCAATACGACAATGAATCAAAAGCAAATTTTTTGAATATGTTTTTTGTATATATTGCTAGTAATCTTACCAAAGACTTGGTAAGATTCCAAGTCCCTTTAGATTCAAACTCCTTTATCAATAGGGTTACCCCTACTACAGATACCTTTTCTTTTAATTGGGATCTGGTCAAAGATGATATCCTTAAAACCCTTAATCATAATAAAGCTTTAGGCCCAGGTAAGATTTAATCTAAAGATCTGAAACTAGCCCAGGAACCCATCGTTCAAGGTTTGTTTGAGATTTTTAAGAAGAGCAAGGATAGCTGTAAATTCCCTCAGTAATGGAAACAATCACAAGTTACAGCAGTCTTCAAAAAAGGGAAGAAGTTAGATCCAAATAATTGTAGACCTATATCTTTGCTAAGTGTCCCAGGGAAATTGCTTGAGAGGGTGATATATAAATCTGTAGATGACCACACCCTATCTAATAATGTCTTAAATAACAGGCAATGGGGCTTAAGGAAAGGTTATTCAACTGAAAGTCTCCTTTTGCATCTTACCGAGAGTAGGAAAAGGGCTTTGGATAATGGTAACAAGGTTGGAGTTATTTTCCTTTACTTCAGCAGAGCTTTTGATTGTGTGGATCACACAATTCTTGCTGCAAAACTGAAGGCAGTTGGTGTTTCAGGTTATTTGTGAAATTGGATGAATGACCGCATCTCCAACCGAACACAAAGGGTCCAGGTTAATGGCACCAATTCAGAATTAAGACCTGTGAAAGTTGAGGTGCCCTAAGGGTCTTTATTAGGCCCTACACTTTTTGCAACCTACGTTAATGACCAACTAGATTTTGTGAATAATGGGGAAATATACATGTATGCAGATGATACAACAATCTATACTATAGGAATTACTGTTGATGAGATAAGTCTGGTTTTACAAGAAGGAATGGACCAATTGCAAACCTGGTGCTTAAATAATAGATTAATTGTCCATGAAGGAAAATCTGAGTCAATGATCCTAAGCATAATCTCTTTCATTGGTCCCATCAGACCTTTGATGTGGGGTGAGAAAGTTATCCAATATAAATCTTCCTCTGTTTGTCTCGGAGTTTCCTTTGATGAAAAACTATCTTGGTCTCAACGTATTAAATCAGTCTGTTTATCATTTAATACTAAAAATTAAAGTATTGAGACGTATAAGTTTTTTAAAGTCTATTTTAGAATCAATTTATTTTAAAACAGTCATTCCAAACATCCTTTATGGGGTGGTTGTTTACGGCTCAAGCCCCAATTTTAAAGAATTGTAACTAATTCATATTAGAGCAGCCAGGTTAATACATAAGCTACCGAATGACATGAATGATGAGAATATTCTCACAACAGTAAAGTGGATGCCATTCGATTATTTTTATAAATTCCGTCTTTTAACTATTACTCATAAGGCATTTTATAACCTAGACTTAGAAGAAATAAATTCCTAGTTGTTAAGAGTCCTAATAGTTATAACTTTAGAAAATCTTTAAACATCAATGTAAATAAGCCCAAAACTAAGTTAGGTCGTAGGACCTTCTCACATAGAGCTGCAACTGCATGGGTAATTTTGGCCTATCACATCTCTAAAACAAGCACATTCGCCAATCTTTTTAATTGTACTTTTCGAAACAGACATTGGTAGGGAACATTTTCGGAGAGTTTTAGAAAAATTGTATTATAACCTTTTTTTCCCGAGGAATCGCCCTAATCGTAGATTACCTTAGAAACGAAGACAACACAAAGTCCTTTTACGTCGCTTGAACAACAACCATGGGCTTGGAAACTCTCTCGCCCATTGCATCGCATTCATTAATGAGAGGACTCTGGGAAATAAAAATTTACTAGTTCGAGTAATTATATTTCGTTGAGCTGCTTGATTGGAGCATTACTCACGTATCGCAGTCCAAAAAGATCAATTGTACCTCGAGAATTCACGAAGAAACAGCTGCTAAAAATTTGAAAGCACCCCCAAGAAGAACCATTTTGTAATGGATTCTTGATTCAGAGCTACTCACTCACTCAAAAATATACTTCTCATGAATACATGCTTCTGTTTTTAAAATTTAAATGTTTACTTTTTGCGTGCTATTGTTTGTCGGAAATAAATTCGATTTTAAATAAATGTCACCCTCGAATAAACGCCGCTCTCGAATCACGAAAAATTTAATAAACGCCGCGGCGTTTAATCGAACAAATGCGGCATTACCCAAATCAGCTATGGCGTCTTTGGTCAACGGTCACCATGGTCATGGTGCTAAGCTGCTAACTGAATCGTTGGTGAAGGTAAAGGTGTTGTGGATATAAGTGGAAGTTCGAAAGGAGCGTCTTAACTCGTCGATGCACACGCGAAAAACGCGATTTCCTTCATTCAAGAAGCAAAGTAAGGTGACATCACTCTAGGGATATCCGAGAATAAAAAACAGTGAACAACTTAGTACAGTTCACTCTGAAATACATCATTATTTTGCCTTTTACTAAACAGCAAAATAAATTCGAAAAAGTAACCAACAACGTGATTTATCTCACCTTAAGGGCAAACATTATGTGACTTATCTCCATGTATCTTTTAAAGAAAATGTACTGGATGACTGGCAAATTTACATGAAGTAAAATATATTTTTATTTTGCCTGCAATTAAACTGATTGCAAAATAACAAATCGAAGAATCAAAACGTAGTATGCTTAACGTCATGTATCCCAAGGAAAAAACAGGGAACAACAGTCCTCCAAACAAACACTTGATTTTCTTGATCAAGTTATGTGTTTGTACCAGTCTATGATTGCTATCTCTGAAGAGATGATAATATTTAATTTGTAATTAAATAAGTAAACACATTACCATGTGTTATCGACATGTATTCACATACGTCCTCTGGAACAAGTATAGAGATGCAGTTGTACTTACGTGACCGTGCGAGCCTCTTGACAATGCCGCTCCATCAAAGCACCTAAAACAAGATACCCTTCCTAACAAATTAAATAAATAAAATAAAGGACAGATACATGTTCACTCATCTGGCAAGAAGAAAGATCTCAATTTTGGCGAATCTTTAACTCTGTAGAGAATATACGCGGGTACGTTCCAAGGATTGTAGACGAAGTCGACTCCTCTCGTGATCGAATTTCGTTGATATGCCTTTCATCTTACTTCGGTCGTCTCTTGCTTTCTTCGTTGCGTCGTCAGAGATGTAAAGATTTGCCTCACGTAGCATTCTCATTTTCTACGACATTTTGCAGTGGGTACTACACTTGGCAATGAAATTTTCCAGTCGTAAGCATTGAACAACTGATCGACTGTGAAGGTATGAAGGCAGAGGAGGACTACTATTCTTGCTATCTCTTCCTCGTTTGCGTTGGTGTTTTCAAGCAAGTCGAACCAAAACGCTTAAGCAGTGCTTTCCTTTTTTTAAGGAAGAGTTGGCACGAGATACTAAGAATGACGGGAGGATTTCATTACTGCCAATCTTTATGTTGCTATGGAGCGGAAACAAAAGACTAATATCGGAAATTGAGCAAATCTGTTACTGTATGTTGCAATGATGAAGCGTCGGGTCGGAAGTCACGTAGAATGCAATTATTTTCGGTAGATTCAGATGGTACACAAGGATTAGACGATGATCTTATCTTTTCTTGCAGAAAAGTTTACCACGTTTTGTCATTGGGAATTAAATCAGGAGTTTGAAGTTTCCGGATATGGTTAAATTTATACATGGGTTTAAAAACTCTTTTAAACCTGGGCCATCAGAATGCACGCCATCGAGCCTTACAATATTTCTCGCACTCTGTCGTGTATTTCCCAATGAAAGACTCGAACCAAACTATCAGCAGCCTAATGATAAGTGAAGTGTTTAATAGTTGTCTGTGGTGATTAATGTGTTTATCTGAATTTGATCTACATTTTTTTATTGTTTGGCTGAACTCTTTTTGTCCTCTCCGGTCATTTGCATATTAGAGTGTTTATTTGTCGTTTTTCTAAAAAGATACGAGTTATACAAGATAAGAGATAAATGAAATCTAGTAAAACAAAATATGCATATATTCCTATAATTTTAAGAGTAATTTTGAATGAGTGATTGTAATTCTACGCCATTTTGAAAGTAAACTTTGGAATTCTAGATTTCTTCATCCAGAGTTGTAAAAAGTCGCGTGACCAATAATCGAATCTATTTTTACTTCCGCCAGTGGTTACGAAATCTGTACTACAGCCTCCACACTACGCATTTTTTTTAGTCTCGATCCTTCTCTCTTTGTCTCAATTATCCGCTTAAGCGAGCGTGGAATTATCAGTCGATGGTAAAAGCACTGAAGTAAATGCACCTTTTAAAATTTCTTGCAACGTTTGAACTACAATTATCATGAACAAACATTTATCACTTCCAATAGTGAAGCAGTCGACCGTTACTGTCACCTCTTGTCACGCGCGTGGGTCGTGATCATTGCAAAAGAAAACCGCAAGTCAACCGATTCGGAATAAATACATTTACCGCCTTTAGACACAGGAACAGTATTTGAGGTCTTGATACAGTGCAGACTGTCGAGCACATCTCAAACTTTAATATTTCTCACAATGAGTGACCTCAATATGGAGGCGTTCTTGGACGAAAGACTGCACGATATTGACGAGTTCATTCAGTCTGAGCTTGGATTCGCTCCCTTGAGTGTCACAGAACCATTTAATGGAGAAGAAGTACATAGTCTGAGCTCCACGCTTGGTGCACCTGATGCTTTGCTCCTCGAACATTTGCAGGGTAAAGATAAGTTGATGAATTTCTGTCGTATATGCAGTGAGGGATGATGATATGTTAGTACAAATGGTGAACGTACTCTAAGCGAGTCGGAAAATGTGTTATCTTTACCCTCGTTATTTACGTTGCTTTGAGTCATTTTTTCCCCAAGTTTGAACGCTAACCCAAAGCACTAAATCCATAGGCGGAATTCCTTGTCCAGGCGTGAGTTTTCAAGATAAAGAACGAAGTCAATCGCTAACACTTCGCAGTTGTCATCGTGTATGAAAACGATGACAAATGCCCTTTTGATCAATCTCCCACCCTTGGACCATGACAGATCTCAAAGTTATTTGAAAATTTTCATTCTGATTCATTTCTTGAAGACGAGCCAGCCAGCTTGACGGCCAGTACACACATGGGAAGCCAAGCTCTTGAAGTAGAGGTAGATATTCAGATAATGGATCTGAAAGATGTTTACGACAAAAAGACTAAGAAAACCAACGAGGGCCATTTAGAATATACCTTAATGGACTCAAAAGTGTCCTTGGCGATTCGAGCATCTGATGATATCACAGGTCTTAAGGCCTACACTCGAAGATGTGCTGAGGCTGCGATCAAGACTCGCGATACTACAGGTGAGACGTGAATCCCAAAATACGTGAAACACTGTCCTGTAAATGAGAATGGATTGGCACTGTAACTGTGAAGGTAAAGTTTTGTTCTAGTCTGGATTAGGCAACCAGTACTGATGTCTTGAGCAATTGCTAAGCCTGTCGGTCCACTGGAGGTATAAAAGTAAAAAACTATACAAGGAGATGCTACGTTCGACAGTTTAAGTTAATTTGGTTCATGTCTCGCCCGGCTCATTGACCAAATGTTTGAATCTGTAGGTCCAGTGGAGTTAGAAGTACACATTACACAAAGCGAGGCAAAGTGCCACCTTGTCACAGTTGATCTTGGGTCGGTGTACAAAACACACGAAGGTGATTCAGTCTATAGGCTGGAAAAGGCAGATGTAGTTCATCGAAACAAATGGGAACTGGTAATAGCCATGGAATTTAAGTCGGGCTTGAAGGGAGTTGTGAGGTCAAGGCCATTCAGAGTTACAACTAAGGCAAGCTTCAAAATGAAGAGGGATGGAGTTGGTTAGTAATTGTATAATTCATGGGGCAAAGTACTGTTGCATTTTATGCCTTAGTACTACATTTGTTGTTAAACACTTTGTCGACATCCAGCTGAGAGCTTTAGATCGTTACGATATTTTCAATATTTGATGTAATAGAAGAGTCTTTGTAAGGTCGTAATTGAGCTCTCTTGTGAGGTATGGTTTTGGACCAGCGACATCAGTTGGGAAGAAATTTTCTGATCGCCGGTAATGGCCAGCTTCTGGTGATGTTCATTATTGAATTTGTATAACGGTTTCTCTTATAGATAACTGTTTACCTAACAGTGGTAACATGCAAAGGATTATTCGAAAGTTTAAGTGGTCTGACATCAAAGAAGTAACTGAGCTGTCTGGAAGAAGCATGCATCCACCTTATCGTGGAATGAGACAGGGTTAGTTGTCGAATACCTTTTTTATATTTGAATCTCCTTTTTGATTAAAAGGATTATTAAAAAGTAGATGTCAATATAATTTTGTAGGCGATGTTTCGAAAAATAAGTGAAGAAAAAATCAGACAAAAGGTGACAAGTATCATAAATTTAAGAACTATAATTTGTTTCGTATCATTAAAAGCGAAACGATCTACTAACTTTTAAGAGGAATTGTTTTTCTTGACTTCTTTTTAGCACACATTGCAGTTCAATATGTACTCTTAAGAGGTTAAACATTGGCGCAAATGATGGCTTGGAGTCTAGCTAAATATAAATCACATGGTGTAGATAACGTCTGTCATAAATAGATATGGCGAATCATCAATACTGCACTAAACAATTCCTAGAATGGCTTTATTAAGTTTAAAAAATTAGTTATTTTGGATGTCAAGGTAAAAAAAAAACCATATTTCGTAAGAAAAAAGAAAGTTAAGCCCCAATCTATGGGAAGATGTCGATCACAATTCATTTGTTACTAAATCTTGAACTTCCGGTCGTATCTGGTCAATTGCGAAACTTTAAAAGGTCACGTTTACCTTTTTCTAATTTTATAGTGTTTGAGAAGTCATCAAAGTTTATTTTTCTCAACTCCAATACATGTACAATAGTATTACCTTTCGTGTACGATATATAATCCATTTCAATACATTGATCAAAGTGCACTAACTTGATAAGCCAACGTATAGTTATCTTCAAACTCTCACTCATACTATAACTAGTGTTCTACTTAAAAGTGTTTATGTCTCTAAGAAATTATCCATCCGCAGTTTCTTTAACTCACCTCTTTCATGGTTGCTACAAGTTAGGAAAAAGTCAGGGAATGTGAATTTTTGCAAGTTCAGGGAAAAATCAGGGAATTTCACTTCGAATCAGGGAAAGTTTGCATATTTAAAAGAAGGCAGGGAAATGTAAAGTTTTAAGAAAATAAGATGTTAATTCATCTTTTCATGATGAAAGAGGATGGCACTTTCCTATTTTTGATGTCGATGATACTCATTGTTTAGTACAGTTGACCAATTCCTGACCAGCTTAGCCATTGATATCATTTGGTTTTATCAACGGAGTTGTTAATGTAAATTTGCCACATTATATTTGCAATACCCCCACAAACATGAAAAGTGCTGGATTCGTATTATCATTTTTTTTTTATTAATTAAATTGAACTACAAGCTGATGTTGGGTCTCCAAAAAAAAAATTCCTCCTAAAAAATTACCTTAAAGAGCCATCAGTCTAGGTATACTGTATGTGACTTGCTGAAAGCACAAAGTTATGGGTGGAGAGGGTGTCAGTGAGTAGGGGTTGAATGCCATCAGTTATCAAGACTAATTTGCGAAATCGTTAATTCAGTTTGTCGGGGAAATGCTACTGTTGTCAGGGCAATGCTACTTTTGTCAGGGAAAAGACAAGGAGTTAAAAATCCTGTAACTGGGGCAGTCATGGCTTTTTAGAAGCCGATTAAATAGTAAAGAATTTTATGTATTTTCACTTAGAATATCTGGATCGCGACGCCTTGAATCGAGATTTTGTGCGATTTACTCTAGAGGAAGATGATATTTTTACAGCACAGCACACGTTTGCTGAGAGTTTTATGTCTCAGGATTCTAACCATACATCCAGACGTATTACTGCAGCGAAGATCTTGCTCCGAACTAACACAGCCTTGGATACGCGTGCGGTAAGTTTAAACTGCCTCACCTTTGTTATGGTTTTACTTGACATGGTATCCTAAATGTAAAATTATACCTCAGGAGTCAAAACCTATATGAAAACTGTAATTGAGGCCTTGTAGCAGGCGATATTTGAAGCATAATCTGCAAACCCTGCAGTTCAGGTCGCTGAAAATGTGACTGAGTAGAAATGTATAGAAGTAATATGGTGGTATTCATAGTGGTATACATCAAGGATACCATTATCTCTAAGTTTGGTTCCTACATGCAGGTATCTTTAAAAGTATAGGTTAGAGCTCTTACTTTTCTATGAAAGTTTTTTTATTCTATTGATCATATAGGCATGAATAATCTCTAAATTTCTTAGCCTATTACCAAAATTGTTTGGATTAAAAATCTAGAATATAAAAGTAGGGCATTATTTTTGATTTTAGTATTGTTTCCATGTTCTCCACACTTCGCTTCAATACTGTGTTATCAACTGTGAAACTGAAGAATATGGAGATTTTTGTCCTTTTTTGGATATGAAACATTCCAGAAAGACATATCTTGACATGCTGATTGCAATTCGGTGATGCAGAATGGGAGTTACAGAACTGGTCTTTGAGCTACAGAACTGTCGTGTCGCTAGGAAAGTTTTTATTGTAATTATCACAACCTTTCTTAGGAATAATTAAGCATCTTTTTTAACAATGTCAAAGAAAAAAAATGAAAAAACTGTGGAAGCCACGTTTCAACAAGGAACTAAACTATTTTGAAGTACCTTTACAGTTTTATGTCAATTGATAGCAATTCCAGCCATGCGATCCGAAAAAAATACCTCAATATATTTCGACATATATCCACTAAATGGCTAAGTTCATTTCATTTCAGGTCAGCGCGTATTATAGTCATAATCCAAAGATTGACTACGTTGTAGAGGAGCTTGACACTCTTGGTTTGTTGAAATTGGTGAGAAAGCAGCCAACACTTGTCCAACCACATGGAAAAGGAAGAAGACTCAAAAGTTCTGAAGGCGAATTCTGGTGGGCTTGCGGATATTGCTTCTTCGAACGTCGCAAGAAGTCGACCATAAAAGCTCACATTATGCAGAGGGTTTGCCAAAAGCCATTAGCAATCAAATCGCCATATAAAAGGAAAATGAGACGACAGCTCAGTCACGGAGACTTAGAGGAACATGAGTTAGATGGATATTCGTGGAAAGCCTCGCTATCCGTTTAACGACCAATTTCAGATAATATCTTTGACAACAATTCTGGTGTTTGAAATTTTTGATTATATATTTTATACTGCCTTGTTTGTTAATATTGTATAATAGAACTTCTTTGGATCAGAACGATGGTGTAAAAGTGATTTAGTTGTTATTGCTGGCGAATGACACCACCACTTTGTTGCCAATATGTGGTGTACGCATCTGACCATAAATTGTACAGTTTGTTTATAATACCCTTTTTTGTGGCAGCATCTTTAATGCCTGTTATTAACTCCAAATCGGTTATATGGCAGAAGTCCTTTTTATTTAAACTAGGCAACGTAAATTGAGATTTGTAGTAGATATGTGGTCTACAACTCTGACCATAAACTGTACATTTTGTCTATACCTGTTTCATAACGGCATTTTGAACGCTTATTGTGACTTAAAAATTGTAACATATAAGAAATCCTTTCCATGCAAGCTTGGAAACGTAATTTGAGAATTTTAGCAAATTTTAGGTCTGCACCTTTGACCATAAATTGTACAGTTTGTTTATACCTGTTTATGGCAGTATATTTACGACTTGTATTAAGTTCAAAATTGTAACATAGCAGAAATCTTTTCCGTGTGAGCTAAGAAACGTGATTTGAGATTTAAATTATTAAAAAATTAAGTGCATCAAATCATGCTGTTGACGGTATTATTTGCTGCTTTAATAGACCTTTTCAGTGCGATTATTATATCTAATATTTTTTGACTAATTACGAAGCACTGTCTCAACATTAATATACTCGAATTGACCGTTGTTGGATTTGTCGGATTGTTGTCTAAGAGACATTCTAGTATTGAACTGTTTCCCAAGGAGATCCAGCGAGAAGAGAAACCAATTTAGTGGTGTACTGAAGGGGAAAATTAACCACAGTGTAAGGGAACGTAACTTGGCATAAAAAAACCCAAAAGAGGTCATATCCAAACATTCTTAATTGTGCGATCGATGATCAGTTTGCACTGTCAAAACACCTTTAGCGATTTACGTTTTCCGAACATGTATTTTCCTAAATTCCTAGTAATTAATGTATTTCATGTCTGCTGCTATGAATATTAATGAATGATGTGAGAGATAAAGTGTCCAAAGGGACTTTGAAGAGATGTAAGGTTAACAAAGTTGAATAGACTTGTAATTTCATGTCAGGTTACGTTATTGCTACATTTTTGCCGAAAGTTCCCTTAAATTTAGAGCATGATTACATTAAATTTAGAGCATGAAGAGTCCTTATTCATACTCTTTGTTCATCTGTTTCTTAGAGTTGCATAAATTGGTCACACAACTGATAGTCCGAAAGTTCCCTTGATTTGACTGTCACGATGTGGCGGTTCGTGGATGAGTGCTCGGTTTCATTCCAAACGTTTTCGGTCATGTCTGCTGCTATGAATATTGATGAATGATGTGAGCGATAAAGTGTCTAAAAGGACTTTGAAGGGATGTAAGGTTATCAAAGTTGAAATAGACTTGTACTTTCATTACAGGTTACGTAATTGCTACATTTTTGCGGCTGATGTGATGTAATCAGTGCTTGCTTGACTAATTTAGCCTTAACAGTGGGTCGGCTTTTGACAGGTCTATGAATAGCACCTTTGTTGTTGCTAAATTGGGCGCATCCGTCTATGTAACAGATACTTGGTAATCTTTCAAGCGTAAGAGTTCACCATCTACGCTAAAAGTAAAGGCTAGTAGTTAAACTCAAGGAAAATAGCGGAATATCTTCGATCAAAGTATATATATCCTTCTTGGATATCTAACAACCAAATTCAGTTTTAAATTCACTGGTTCGGTCGTTATTAATAGTAACCTTGGGACGTTGGGTGGCAAGATTTCAAGATTGCGAAATGTTCGATCTACTGGTCACGGATTAACTTTACAATACTAATGCTATGCTAATAACCCTAAAACGCACGTATGTTTGAAGGAACAAAGCAATTGATAGTTCGTTGTGCATTGTTTTGTTTTGCATTCTCTAAAACTGTCACTAACGGAGAGCGTGTTCAACTCACATGAAACATTTAGTGCAGGTATAAAGCTGAATTCTCCCGGAAATTGAAGAATATTGAAACAACAGAAAAATTGCAGAGGTGGGAGATAAATTCAGTTGCAAGTAATAGGTTGTGCAAGATAAACCACAGAGGATAAATTACCGTGTTTAATGATTTATATTTAGGAGTACACGTACGTCTTACACCACAAGCTTGCAGAACAGGCGTAATTTTCTTGTGTTTTTCAGTCGAAGGTAGGCAAGCGCAAGGCGCCAAGAAGTGCGAGTTACGCGCGAGAGGAGAGGCGCCAAAAAAATAACGGCGACATCAACGTAGGACGGAGTTTAGCCAGCATATTTCAGCTCTGCTGATACTTTACTTATTACTTTGGAACAAGTTCTTTGATACCGTTTTCGCCTTATATTTGCCGGAAGTCGGCTGGTTGCGATGCTTCCAGATTGTCCCAACTTTATATCAAGGCCATAAAAATTAATTCAATGTTTGTTTTTGTAAAAACGAAAGCAGGTCGCAGGTGATTTTTATTTATTTGTTATCTGTTTTCTGTGACTTGTCTGATTGTTGTGACTTCTCAACCCTCAAAGTGTTATTGACAATTTCTATTTATTAATAGGAAGCTAACCTTTATATGGAGCAAAAACCCTATAGTGATAATTGGATCGAGTCTGTAACAATTTAAGTGAATACTTGGACACATTGTCGATGGCAGGTTGTCTCTCTAGAATAAATCACAATTGTTTTGTGTTTACATCTGATTCACTGACAAGGTGACATGACGTTTTTCCCATCAATATCTGAAATAATCATGATCTTCATTAAATAGCCAAACAAGCATGTGGCTTTACGTTTTTGCGTTGTCACCGTTGTTGTATTTTAGTGCAAACTAAGACTGACATCGGAAAAAAAGCAAACTTTTTCATTTACGTTATGGTTCAGCGGCTGAACATCAGGTCGAATGCTGTTTTCTCAATCAGTCCAGTAGTGCAAAGGATTGAACAATGATATACATACTTCTCACTTGAAAATCAACAATAGCTCAGCATTAGACATGGAATGATGAAAATAAGTTTTGGTAATGATGCAATTTCCTCATGGGGTGCCAGATTACTAGTTTAATTATACTGCGCGAAATTAAACTTATTTTAGAGCGCCCCCCACCATGTAGTGAAAAATTTCACAACAAGGTCACTGAATTGAAGATTTTTGGTATGAGGAGCGGATTTCTAGATTACCTCCAGTGTTGAAAGGGTCGCGTGACTCACAACTGTCTCTGCGATAACTTTCGCGACTGGTTACGTAATTCGTGCCGTCAACAGTCGTACGACTCATTTATTTCAGTCTCTTGCTGTCTTTTTATGTCTCAATCAGCCTAATGATGGTGCACCTTATATTTATTTCCCACAGTGGGGCCTGAGCCTAAAAAAGTTTTATCGCGCTTTGCTTTCTCCAAAAAAATCGAAAAGTTCAAAAAAAGCCTAGATGGTCGTTGTCCCCCGGCAAAACAATGAAAATTATGCAACTTTGGCAACCTCGTAAGTCACAACGCAACGCAATCCTGCTTTTAAATTTTGTGCGCTTGTGGATAGTCCTTTATCTTTTTGGAAATATAAATTTCTTGTTTTATTGTTACGTTTGAGTCTGCATAGTGATCCATTGAAATTATGTACTTTGCGTGTTTTTCGCAGAGGTAAAATAAAGGTCAACTTCACAGGCCCGTAAAGAGGTCTGCCGTATATAATTACAAGTTATGATTTGCATCATGTTGAAGCTTGACCCTTTTAGTTTTATTCCCACAATTAGAACTTTTTGACGTTATTTTTGAAAAAGGTAATATAAAGTATCCTTTTGGAAGAACAAAATGAGTCATAAGTTCTAAGTAGCGTGTCCAGATTGACAGGAGTTCACGCTATTTGACAAAAATGCAATGCAAATCTCCAGACAGCTGTCACGGCTATCTAAAGATCTATAAAAAGATCTGGTATTTATAGTTACAAATCATAATATACATCCTCTTGAAGCTTAATCCTTGTCGTTTAATACCTCATATTTCCTTTCCTGGCCTGCCATAAGCGTTCAATATTATTGTTAATAATTTCGAGTGCGTGGTGTACAAATTAAGACTACTTCGAGTGAACAGACAGTTGTTTTCTAGTACTCATCATAAATAGCAAACTTTCGTGACACGTTAGTGATGTTGTGAATAGTTTCCGGTACGCCTCAATTCAGGTCGTTTCAACGAGGGACTTTGAAACTCAAGAAAGTTTTCTTCTTACTGCTGGCACAAAATCAAGGGTTACTTAGGTTTGAAATTAAGACTAAGATGGAAAATGAACTTTAATTTAACAGATCTTTACATAGCATAGAAAAATTCTTAGAGTCATCATTTTCATTATGATCAATCATTCCCTACTGAACGATCGACCATACATCTGTCTGGCTCCCTCAACGTTTCCAAACACTGGGTTCATACGTTGAAAGTATTATTTTCGTAATCGGTTTCTCTTAATTTTTCAAGTATTTGAAAGGGTCGTGAAGAGATACTTATGTTGTTATGGAAATTTTAGTGAGTGAAAATAGACTTATCGAGCCGCCATGTTTGTTTTGCTTGTTGACATTTTTAAAGCTTGCGCTATATGGTCAGCATTAGATTCCATCAACCACAAACCACCTCGGTCGAGAGGGAGTGAGATGGAATATTTTTAAAATGACTTACAAAACATAACCGAAGATTCTCGGAAATCCGCGAGTGTTGTAGCCAAACATCCGAAGCTGTAAATCCCATGATTCTTGAGGAACAAACAGAAACAGCATGGCGGGAATTTTAGGGCGCGAACCTTTGCTTGATGGTAGACATGCGGATGATTTAGGATACTTTAATTCTGTTGATTAGACGTATAGACTTATTGCGGAGTTTGAAACAAGATTGACGACGAAGTTTTCTTGCTTTAAAGCTGACAAAGGTTCCAGAAACACTGGTATGTATAGCTCTTTGGCAATACAAAGCTTTGCTTTCATTTCCAAATTGAGCACTCTATCAAGAAGGAGAAGTCATGTCTCGCTATTGAGCATTCTCACTAGTTTATCTGGTTCGAGTCCTCTGGCATGGCTTAGATTATATCACAATTTTGGAATCATTCGGGTTAAATTAATGCTTACACCTCCTTCCTCGGATAGAAGTCACAATATACTCTGGGAAGGTGCACGAGATATTTAAGGAGCAAAAATTCGTTTTTTACTGGAATGCCTTCCCTAATTTTGGGAAAGAAAGTTTTCAATTGCCAGCACGGCGTAGATAGAACAGCTGGAGAGAAAAGGAAACGCAAAGATGCAAAAGAAGTACTGTACATAATATTTTCTTTTATCCGCGACCTTTGTGTTACTACTGTCACCTATAGCTTGCTAATCCGAAATGTCAAATGCACACATGAATGGGTTATACGACATTGATCTCAGAATACTTTTAGGACAAACGTGATAACAATTCAATCTCGGCTAAATAGTTTAGAAGTTAACAATTATAAGAACT